AGAAAAAAAGCAACGGTCCCTATCTCTATCCTCACATGTGAACGCGTCTGCGCTTGGCTTGGCGGTCGGCCTGGCATTACTGGTCTCCAGCTTTCTCCTCTCACGGGTCTCTCCCCCAACGCAATACAGGGTGCCCCAAAAGTCCCAACATCTTATTTTCCATTTTGGGAAAGAGCTCATGTGCGATTTTTTTCTTACTTCAGCATGGATTATGTATACTACATTAGACGAACCATTACTACTCTCCCGTCTCTCCTTAATGCTGCGGAATACATTTTTCGATAATTAGAGGGGCAATGTGATCAGCTGCATTCTGGATGCGAATTCTTTATTTCCAAATGCTGTTCACTTCATTCAGGTAAGCAACCCTTTTTTCACTGAAGACTCACATAACCCTGTACAGAAAAGTGGAGGGTAGCGATATCAGGAGAGTGCGTTGCACGTGGTTTGTTCTTCTCCACGACCCTAGCTTGCGCCCTTGATCTGGTTGGAGATGTAGCACGATTTGCGGGCGATAAGCCCTCGGTTTTAGAGCACATGCTAGGGTTCGACGAATGGCATTCTTTCGGAATTCCTTGTTGCAGTGCCCCTTCGCGCAAAAATTTATTCCTACTTCGCTTAAATTCTTCCTTTACGGCCTCTAACGAGTATCTTGACGTCTATTTCGTTTCGCTTTTCGTTTCGTTTCACTTATACGCCCCCCTTTCGCAATGAGCATTTTCTCATTTCGGAGACCAGTATTCGTTCACACTTGTTAATAAAATATATAAAATAATTCTGGTAGGGTCTTTTGAGTCACCCTGTAGACATGTATAGAACCATGTAATCTGCCTTTGTACACATCCGCCTAAATCCTTACAGACACACCGACTCGTATCAGTTGTTCTCTTCCCTTGCATGACCCTGATGGTGATGGCGGCCGTATAGTAAGTATCTCCAGTGTCTGATATGAGATGAGTCATTCTTTACCTGGAATGACTATCACTCTTTCCACTTCCTATCGCCTTAATATACTGCCTTTCAGAAGTCTCCAAACACTTCTCATACTCCTATACCGAAGCATATGGAACACCAGATTGAACCTCTATTTTTCTGCAGGATAGCTTAATCTTTTCATTTGGGAGGATCTGTGCTAAAATCTACTGCAGCTGGATTCCATGTCATTTTAAATTTGTGTTAAGGGAATGTGAGAAATTACTTTCTGTTGTTTTAAGAAACAGTATCTGAGTGCATGCACAGTACTTATCGAAGAAATTCTTTTGGAGAAAGTGGGTGGTTCTAGATCTAGGGATATCCTGAGAGCAAGTGCCAACAAAGCTGTTAAAGCATGTGTGCTTAGACAAAGGCTAAAAGCTGCCACAAGTAGGCACTCCATGAGCTGACTCATTAGAGTCTTCCAAGATGCCGAATTTGGTTTCAGGTAGCATGCCATGGAATGTCATGTGAGAGCTCCTGGGGAGAGAGCCTAGCTAATTCGAGCATGAGAAATCTGCCTCTGTGATTAGCTTTGGATTGCAGCTGTTGTATATGGGTTATGAACTTATTGCAACTGTTTTACATTTGTCATTTTAACTGTGAAGGAAGTCATGATAAGGTAATGCAATATTTACTTAGAGCAAGAAGTTGATTTTCTTATTCTAAACTCCAGTGTTTGTGATATAGAAAGTGGTGAAGTGCCTGATGCTGCTCTTCTAGCCAACAATCCCTACTTCCCTCAGAAGGACTATGTGAGGTTTGACACTGCCAACTCAGCTGCCTTATTGGGTAAGAAATTTTTTTTTTATCTCTCTCTTCTATGATCATTCACATGCAGGCAGTGTGACCTTTATTAATTTCAACATTTACAGGAAAACTACTTGAGTTCAGAACAAATGCAAATCAGCAATTGGATGAGGAGATTCTGGTTTCAGCAGTGACAGCTGTGGAGAATCCTAATAATGATGTATCCAGAACAGAGCTCAGCATGATGGAGAAACTTTTTTCATGGCCCACAGGTAAGCTTTGCCTCATAAAAACAATAACTGCTAGTGCAGACATAGGCAATAACTTGTTGAGACAATTGGTGTAAGGGGGATTCTGAGACCGTTTCACTGAAAGCTACAAGCCACCCCTCTCTCCATGGTCAATCATCGGTCAATCCAGAGACAAATTCTCGCTCTTTAACACTTAATGTGCAGTGGACATATACATTGCTTGTTACTGTCTCATGAACTGTGGCAGATGTATTTGTTAATCCTTATAATTTCAATTCATTTTTCATTAATTAGCCATATATATATATATATATATATATATATATATATCCCATGGCTGCTGTTATCTACTCCATGTGGACTAAGCTATTGAAACTTCAGTGTACTCCAAAAGAGGAAGAAAAGTTGACAGGTGAGACAGCAAGACAAGACTCTGCATACAAATATGGAGCCTGTAACATTGGTCTTTGTGTTTGATCCATGTTTCAAAGTGTACTACAACAAGAGCTGCCTATAAGTCTAGCTAATTTTCACCCTCCCATTCTGTGGATATCTGCATACTTGATGCAAGAGCACTTTACTTATGTGAGATTACCTTTTTCCAGAAAAACTTTTTCCAGTGCTGGACATGCTACGACTAGCCATCCGAAACCCCATCGCCAACAAGTACTTCTGTGAAGAAAACAAAGTGGAGTTTTCTCAACGAATACTGCATTTCCTCACTCCAGAGATGCCACCTGTGAACCAGATGCTAACTTTGCGCATCATCTCCAATGCCTTCGTTCATGATCCAGGCAGAGAGTTAATGCTTATGATGGAAAAAGATATCCTTTCACAATTATCAGATATTGGAGCTCCGAAATGGAAGACTGGAGATGTTGCTGCCATGACAGTCCTCCTGAATTACTCAATTGCTCTCTTTAAGAGAGCTCGAGACTTTGATAGTAAGCTTCAGTGCCTTTCCACATTGGCTTCAGTCATGAAAGATGCCAATGACAAAGAAGCCATTTTCCGAGGCCTAGTTACTCTTGGTACCCTGCTCTATGGTGACAGAGAACTTGCATCGGCTGCATCTGTCTTGGGTTTACCTCAAGTTGTCAAGATCAATCAGAGTATCCTTGATCCACCAAAAGTGGCAGAGTGTGCTGGGTATCTCAGTTCAGTTCTGTGATTTCCATTTTTCTTTCTTGATAAAATAAAATTCTTTCTCAATAAAGGACTTGTTTCACATTTTCCCATTGATTATGAGTCACACAATACATGTGAACTTCAATTTATGGACACTTAAATATTGATATAAAGGACTTAAAAGTCATCTGGATCAAAATAGCATATGTTTCTTACACTCACAAACACAGTTCCTCAAATAGATGCCACATTCAATTGGCTTGTTCACAAGCTTCAATCCAATCATTGTACACATCAATGGCCTCTGACAGGAAGTTGATTGTGGTTTGGAAGTCCTCCATGCACACATGGCATGTAATTCGACCGACCAGTGTTCCTTGCCTTGTCCCTGAAGCAAAAGCAGGATAATTAGTGATTTGAACAGCCCATGTTTGGCCACCTTATTCTGCCAAATGATGAATTATTTCATGAAAGTGGGCTGCAAGTTTGTCAATCCATACATTCTCATGTTGCACTGCATGTTATTAACCAAACCAGGAATTTTGACTATTGATGTTACAATTGATGGTTCATGCCATAAATGGTTTTTATTAGGCACCACAAGTAATCAGCATTCAGAAGGAAAAGGTCAGACTCAAAAATTGCGTATTAATTAATAATGGGACACAGCTCAGAAAACAGGAGAGAGGAAAGAAGAGCAGGTTCACTGGAGATGCCATAATGATAGTGTCTGGAGGAAAAGGTTTTTTTTTTTTACATTTCTATCTGCCTGTGTTGGACTCTTGACTTCTGACCCTCTCAAAATGAGCATAAAATGTTAATGGCTCCTCACAAGGCCCAATGCCTTCATTCAAGACACCTTTCTATACTTCCTAATCCCTGTCTCTCACCATTCATCAATGATACACAGTGTTCCAAAAACATGCATTTCCTTAATTGTAAAACTTTTTCAACTAAAAAAGATTAAATTTTATTTTATATGTGCACAATGAATATAAAAAGGCATACCAATGACTGCCATGTCAAATGTTTATTTCTTTTTTGGCTATCATGCTATTTTTTTTTTATATTAAAATAATATTTGAAAT